AATCAGTTTACCTTAATCAATTATAAAAACTACCTGCTCAAATTGAGTAAATTCAGGTTATTTAATATTGAGGAATAAATCACTTTCTACCTTAAAATCATTAATATTGTTCTCCATGTTCTTAGTTATAATTTATTATTTAACGCTTAAATTATAGATGTTATGTAGATTTTCTGTCATCAAGTATTAATTACTTTATTTTTTGGGTATTATAGATTTTGATGTATTCATTTTTAATATCTATATTATATAGTTCTCACAAACTTAATAAAGATATATTGTTATAAACATAAGATTTGTCAAGGATTCAAGTCTTTAATATTTTGGTAGAATCTTCATACGTTTAGAATATTTAAAGTTTATTCATGATTTCCTCTTTTCTCAAATTTAGGATAAAAAGAAAGAATTAAATTTTTGGTTAAAATAAATTTGTAAACTAAGAAATCAATTAAAATAATTAATGAATACATGATGGAAAATAAAGGTTCTGGATTATTTAGATAATTTTTAAAAATATTCGAGTATTAAAGTATTAAAGAAATTTTAAGTGGATGAACTCTGATTGATCTTAAACTCACCCGTTCATTTTATGTGAAGGGAGAAAAATTACTATAAAAACATTTGTAAAAAAGACTATTCTCAAAAATGTTTATTTGTGATTTGGCAGCTATAATTATTAAAATGTATAATATTAAAAAAGATTAAAATTGAATACTTTCCATTTTAGCTCACATATTAAATTTATTTTGAAATGTAATATAAGAATGAATATTATCCAATACCGAAATTAGATCTTATTTTCAAATTGGTAATATACTGTTTTCTAAAACCATCTCTAATCTAATTATATTCTCATTACTGATTTATTCTACATAAACTACCTTACTAGGTTATTAAATTGAAAATTTAAATTAGATAGCCTTCTTAATAATTCGCGTTAATTAAATTAATTTCTTATTTATCCTATTTCAATTGGATATAGGTTTGGCCATTTATCTTTAGATTACATATTATAGGGTTTGCCAATCCTTATTTTCAAGTATTGGAGAACCTCTTATTAAAAGGTTAAGTGATTGTTCTCCATGATTAACGCTAAAACCTTAGCGGCGCTAATTAACTTTCATGCTATGTTAATCCTTCAATCTTCTCTAAAATTCATACTTAAAGATATCACCATCAGTTTCCAAAACTATTACTTTTAATCAATCCAATATTCCTACTTTCATAGGATTCTTCTATCTAAACTCTACATTTACAGGCTCTGTTGATAACTCAAATAGAAATAGGAATATTTTTTATCCAATTTGCCAAAAGATCATAGTCTTTTCATGTCTCAGTAAAAGGGTTCAGATCGTTCATCTAAATTCTAAGAATGTAAAGCATTTTCTAATAGCATATATATTTTTTCTAGCTTAGGTTATGTAGACCTGCAGGGTATTAACTATTATAAGCTTCTATGCCACCCAAACTTTTCAATTCAACCTATTCCTAGTAGTTATTTATCAACCTATTTTATTTTCCTCATCTAAAGTCATAATCTTAGATGATATTCTTTTTTGTTTCGTATTATTTTTCTCAATCTTCTACTTCTATGATTCAAATAGCAAAACTCACATTTCTTTTGTGAGTCATATTGTTTATAGGATTTGAGGTTTAAGCATTGATCATTTTTGTCTCATGTATTTTATTTCATTAGTCTGCAATAAATTATTCACTTTCCAAGTACTCCTATACTATATTCAATTTTTTTACTGTATTCTAGTGTCTTGGCTTCGAGTTAGTCCTTTATCTAATATCATAAATTGGCAATTATAATTATCATGTATTATTAATAAAATCTAAAATTCTTCTTACCATTATTAGTTTGATATTATGTTTTAGATATGATGTAAGTTCATATTAAGACTTTAACCTTAAATTAGTCTTTTTTTAGTAGGTTAACTTAATTTTAACCCTCATTAAACTAAACATAAATAGTTTGATTATCTAAAACATCGCATTACATAATTACATTCTTTGGCCAACAAGACATTATTTTTTGGGTGTTCTCATTT